AAATAAAAAAAATACCTTGACCATTTATTTGCCTGCTATAAGCTAGTTGTTGTTCATAAAGATTACGATTATTTACTCTTGCTCTTTCTATGGCTTGTCTGTGTAGTCTTTCTGTACGCTCCGCATCCACCTTCATTTCTTCAATTGTTTGGTTTAAACGGTTATTCTCGACCTCCAAATCTTTACATCGTTTTTCGAAGTTATCCTTTTCTTTTGTTAGACGGTTGATTTCGGCATCACGTTTATAAAGATCATTTTGAAGCTCTATAATTCTTGCTTTGTTGTTTTCGCCTTCATCTATTAAAATTTGTAAATTTGCTAATCTAGTAGTCAAATCATCTCCTTGTATATTGTTATCTTTGAAAAACTTTATAAACCGTTTTCTTTCACGTTCGAGAAAGTCGACTCGTTTTTGATAAAATTCGACCAGACTTTGTAAAGGATCGATTTTAGCGGCCCTAGTATTAAATTTCTTTTTCTTATATATACGTGTCATTTTTTACATCCAATATCTCTTTTTATTTTTCCAGCTTTATATGTTTTCGTTAATTGGTCCGGGAACAATTTTCAGCTTTGATTCATTAGTAAAATTCCGAGTAATTCCGGCCTAATTTTTTGATCGTGTCGGTAGACGTTTCACATGATTTGTCAATTCATAACTAGTCAATTGATATATATATATATATATAAATTCATATCAAAACAATCAGTATTAGATACATGTACTAAGTGGGTTGTTTTAACCCATACAATTATTTTAGCGGGCAAACAAAAAATTTTCATGATGCATTAAGAAATATTATTAAGACTTAGAAAAAATTATGTAGACGGTTCTGTTTTTACGGCAATTTCTAATTACGTTAAAGGTATAAAAATTTTTATTTATTTTTATCAGAAACTAAAAATTACTGATGATTATCATAATTTCAATATTATCTGTTAGTTATTTTGGTTTAAAACTCTATAATTTGTACTGTAATTTTTTATATTGCCGCCAGAATTACAATAAGAACAGGTTTTTTTGATATTGTTAATTATGGTGACTTGATTTATATATGTTGTGCCTCAGATTAATGCTTGCGTCAGATGTCAACTTTTTGGCCCGCATTAACTGATCGATATTGATTGACTTAAATTAAGCCCAAATCCTTCCCAGATTCTTACCCTAACCCTAATCTAACTTAGGCCGGTTTTAATCTGACGCAAGAATTGATCTGAGGCACGACATATACATTAATTTCATTCTTGAATCGAAATTATTAAATATATTGATAAAGTACGAAAATCATGTAATTTCTATAATTAAATTGAACTTTAAATTAGAGTGGTTTTTATGTTGGGTATTAAATTGGTTTGGATATATTCGGCATGCAATTAACTAGAGATTATGGCCATATCAGTCACAGGACATGTCTATATATGAGGGCTTAGAATGTTGTTACTTATAAATCAAATGAGTTGACACACCTAATTTTATATGTAAATTTTTGCAAAAATAATTATTAAAACTAGCTCTTAGGACCCGGCGTTGCCCGGGTTCAAGGTTTTAATTTTTTTCTAATTCTTAGAACTTAGTATTGCCCAAGTTTGAGTTTCTAATTTTTTCTAATTTTAGACTTTAATTATTTTAGCTTATAGTTCTTAGGCATTTATTACCCAATTGGGTTTAAACAAACCTGAATTGGGTTCAAACAAACCCAATTAGGTTCAAACAAACCCAAATTAGATTTAAATAAACCTATATTGGGTTTATTAAAACCTGTCTTAAGTTTTAATAAACCTATCTTGAGTTTATTTAAACTATACTTGAATTAATTTAAACCTATTTTGGGTTTATTTAAACCCAACATAGATTCAAATAAACCCAATTTAGGTTTAAATAAACCCAACTTAGATTTAAATAAATTTGTCTTAGATTTAAATAAATTATCTTGGGTTTATTTAAACCCAACTTGAGTTAATTTAAACCTAACTTGGGTAATTTGAACTTGGTTTAGGTTTATTCAAACCCAACTTGAGTTTATTAAACTCAAATTAGGCTTAAATAAGCCTGTATTATTTTTTTATTTTTTATTTTTTTATTTATTTTTTAATTTTTTTTTAATTTTTTTATGTTTTTTTTTTTAATTTTTTTTTAATTTTTTTTTATTTTTTTATTTTATATATATATATATATATATATTTAAATTTTTTTAATTTTTTTTTATTTTTAAAATATTTTTAAAATTGTTTTTTAAACTTTTTTTAACTTTTTTTTCTAAACCATTGTTAATTTTTTTATTAATTATTATATATATTTATTTATTTATTAAATTATATCTTTAAGTAATTAATAAAACTTTTATTCAAATTACTTACTAAATCTTTGCTCAAATTATTTTTTTATATAACTTATTAAGCCTTTGCTCAAGTTATTTATTAAACATTTATTAAAATTACTTATTAAACCTTCGCTTAAATTAATTTTTTATATAGCTTATTGGGCTTTACTCAAATTACTTATTAAACT